GAGAGAGAGAGAGAGAGAGAGAGAGAGAGAGAGAGAGAGAGAGAGAGAGAGAGAGAGAGAGAGAGAAGGAAGGAAAATAGTCTTTCTTTTCTTTGAAATATTTCTTTCTCTTAAAGAAAAAAAAGAACTGATATCTTACTTCAGGAGCAATTCTCAATTTTTTTGGATCATTATCCAATTCTGTGACTCGGGTGCTGATGGTCTGATGCATTTATATTCCATGATTATTGCAATAGTATGTGGGAACAAACTTTCTCAGGAAAGGAGGGAGATGGAGAAACCGTGTCTGGTGCAAATAACCAGGCCTATTCATTGAGTTCAAAGCACTGAAGAGCTTATTATTGCTTCGTCTATACAAGAATGTAGTCAACTAATGATCAAAGCTAAATTGGCTCTAAATAAGGGTAAATAAAATAAAATAAAATATTAATTTTAATTGTTAATTTTAATTTAATTTCTAAATCTCATTGTGAATGTCTGTTGGTTTGTTTTGGATATTCTATTTAATCTTTCTTTTAACTTTTGTAATATATGTTTTTATGTTGTACGCCGCCCTGAGTCCTTTGGGAGAAGGGCAGCATATAAGTCCAATAAACCTAAACCTAAATAGTTCTTATCTTTGAGGCAACAGTCTAGAATCCTGCAGCTCTGGCATCACAACCATTTCAGGATCTATAATAAACTGATGCATAAGGCACCCTATCTCAATGTTTTATCTTTCTTACATCATTCCATGCTAATTTTACTTAAAGAATATTTTTCCTACTTATGAGGGATTTGTGTGATACAAACCATTCACTGAAATATTCATAAGATTCCGATAAGAAGGGAAGAATATTCTTTGGATAAAATAATTTTAGGAATTGTTATAAGCATTTTTAATTCTATGTCTATAAATAATTAGATGAAACCCAGACTGAATCCTGCAGATATTGTCACTGGTATCTTGCTTAACTTGTTCCACTCTCTGAAACACATCTAACTAAATAGGACTAAGTCTGGATTTCACCATGAATTATTTTATAATCAAAGATTGATTATGAGTCTGATTCAAATTATTAAAAGGAACTATCTTATAAACTGTAAGCTTCTAACTTGGCAGGTATTGATAATGAGTGGAGAAAAACTCAATGCATGCCACGTGAAGTATGTGTAGATGTGGGAAAAGAATCTGGAGCAACAACAAACATCTTCTTTAAACCTCCATGTGTGTCCGTCTACAGATGTGGAGGTTGCTGCAATAGTGAAGGCCTGCAGTGTATGAATATCAGTGCAAGCTACGTCAGCAAAACGGTAAGTTGTTTTGACTGCATAATATTTAGACCTCTAATGTTTCTTGCATAAAATTAAAGTAAATGCAATATTTTAAAATAAAATGGTAACAAAGTTTATCTGTGTTAACAGAGCAATAGACAATAATCAACTGCATAAATGATGGAAATGGAAAAATATAATGATTAAGTACAGCATATAAAGGAATAGAATGGACATCCTGTGGCTCTAGAGTCTCGAGCAGCTTATGAACTCATTCTGTGAGCCTAAACCTTATCAGTGACTGATTGTTTCTGCTATTTAAATCCTAGGATTGATTCAACATCTTTTTTAAAACAACACACAAACAAAAATATCTAATTAGTGATAACAGTACTAATGTTCTTTTGCTTCCAAGATCTTTAACAAGATGTAAGGACTCTTAAGAAAGAGTGTACTTCAAAAATATAAATTAAGAATATTGTTCACATGCATAGAAATAGCTTTTCCCTTTATATTATCCCTAATTTAATCCTGGTACAGTGAATTATATACAACAATTTCCTTCTGTTGCTGCCTCAGTTATGGAAACAATTCACAGCACCACCTGTTAATTTACCTGGGGTGTAATATTGTCTGCAGCCAGTATGTGAGATGCCAAGGCATATATCAATAATGACTTTCATGCCTCCTTTCCTGTACTTCTAATTCAATTGTTTCTGCATATTTTGATTGGTTTAGTCTTTTTTCAGTAGCTTCTGTGATTTCCAGAAACTACATAGAATCAGACTTGTAGAATCATAGCATCTTTTTCAGAAGGCTTTCCCCCTCTTTTCTAATATATTTTTTTGTTTCTAGAAACCTCAGAATTTCTTTAAATATACTGATCACTACTTCATGAGGACACAATAACAAATTAGCAGATTTTCATTGTGGTACACATGGAAGAAGACAGGAAGGCATATATAAAGTACTCATTCCAAAGAAACACATAATTAGAAATGATTTATCAGAACATTTATTTATCAGCAAACTATAACATGATTTGGAGAATAATTTAGGCAAGGCAGGTAGGTTTAATATAGTGTAGTATATCAGGAAAGAGTACCTTTTAAGTTTTTAAAACATTGCTCATATTTTATGATGTATCAAACATGCAGCCTTCCTACAGTTTTTAATGGCACTAACTCATATGCCATCCATCACTTAAAAGGTGTAATAATTTGATGGGATTTAAGATTAAGCAGTCAATGCCTTAAAACACTCTCTTTCTGAAATTATATCCTACATACTGGTTGCTGATTTCTCATGAAGACAGCATTATTTAATCAGGCCTTTGATGGGTAATTTTCATAGCTCAATATTCTTTACTAAGATCATAAACAATTTCCCTGATTTGGGAGTCACAAACAGTGTATCAAAATAACTTATTTTCAGACTACTGACTACTAAGCCCATTATCCTGAAAACATTCTGCCCTCCCCCCCAACACATACTCTCTCTCTCTGTCACCACACCACGCACATAAGTTATTCAGTGTAATATACTGTATGCGTATATGAATAGCCTAGTTTGGTAGGTTTTGTTGGAATTTAAAGGCTTACTGTTCTGACTCCCTCCTCCATCCAGTAACGAAAGCCGAGACAAGCTTAATTAGAATGTCCTTTAATAACAAGACCAGAATCTCGGTGGCTGAAAGCCAAGCAAACAAACAGATAAGGCCCTTGGCAGCAATCCAGCCTGCCAAGTTAGTTACGTTCTCTTTAGTCAATGCATTGACTTCTGCAAGAAGGGCAGGTTGTCACAAGCAGTCTTTTTTATAGTCTGGAGAGGAGCCTAATGACCATCAGCTGAGCGTAATTACCTTCTGTAATTACGTAATTGTTCTTGATGCCTAGTA